AGAGAGAGAGAGAGAGAGAGAGAGAGAGAGAGAGAGAGAGAGAGAGAGAGAGAGAGAGAGAGAGAGAGAGAGAGAGAGAGAGAGAGAGAGAGAGAGAGAGAGAGAGAGAGAGAGAGAGAGAGAGAGAGACAGAGAGCACCACATGAACTGAAGAATGGCATCAACGCATATAAATGTTGATATCTTGTACCCAGCAACCGTGAGGTCTACACTGAAACATCTTTACAACCGACCAGAAAAAAATCTCTTGGCCCATCAAAGTGGAGCGAAACTCGCCTAGAGGATTTTACCAAGATCTCCTCTTTACACCGAGATGCTTCCGCGATTCCTTCATCAAAACTCCACCTCTTTACGTCTTCAAGTTAAAATTCCAGAGCATCGCATCACATGTATGTAAATGGAAGTCTGCGACAGGGAAATATGCCTCATGTAATCTGGAATCCAATTTAGAAAATAAAGAATAAAAAGGCACGACCCGAAAAGTGGAGGGATGCAAATATTGACACAAGAGTGGAATTAATTTCCCCTCTTTTCAGGAAACCTGGCGGAAAACTTCCCCGCAAAAGTCTTGGGAGGGGAAAATGGCGTTTCCTAAGTGAGGAATAGTGATGTGGCGCAGATGGAGACTACGAATGGCCTCCATCTTGCGCCATATTCCCTCTTTATTGTTACTTTTCTCCTATTCCTCTCATTCCAAGTTTAGATCAAGTAACATAACAGAAAACTCTAAATTCATAAATGTGTATTTAAAACCAACATCTTTCAAAAACATACAAAACCATTCATTAAACATTAAACATTGTAACATTAAACTGGTTTAAACTGTTAGTAGATAGTGGTATGGGAATTGATTTGGAGGAAGGAGGTAATAAAAGTATGTGTTCGTGGGAGAAAAGAATTGGCAAAATGATCAGGGAAAGAAAAGGGCCTCAAAATAACAATTCACTTAAGTCAAACCTAGTGACAAACAAGAATTCATATATACATATAATTACTCAAAATTCTCTGCCCAAGTTGCATCCAAAGTGTGTTGCAAATAAGTGCAACATTAATGGCTACCCTTGCAAGCTGCGCTTCAATCTTGGGTCCAAAACTTATTTTCGCGATAACGCCCCAAATAATTAAACCCCGCAGACTAACTTTTCCTTTTGATGATCAAAGTTATATGAGTTTTCTCCCTAAAAGATTTCTCTTGCGTAAAAGTCTCTCCTAATGAGAATTCTCAAATGTTCAAAACATCGCTATTTCTAGATGCTAACTTATTGGTTATTATGTCTTCTAAGATGGTATACAGGAAGGTGACTTGTAGGGGGGGGGATGCTATGTCTTACCCTCCCCTTAAGTGATAAAGCTACGCTTAAGCGGAGTCTTTCTATAATGATTGTATTGGTGTCTTCACTTGTCTCTTCAGGAGGCGCTCAAGCGGGGCCTTTCTACCATGATGGAGTGTGTGATGGTGTCTCCACATGTCGCCTGGCGAATACAGGCGCTCAAGCGGAAGGTTTCCTTAAGATTTGTTCAAGAATGACTTCATTCTGATCAATAATTGGCTGAAAGAAGATATTGAATGCTGCTTAGTCTCGTACTGTCCCTGTGAGGATTAAACTGCTGCTTCAGCGTTCGCTTCACCCTGAACTGTGATTGGAGATTAGCATAGGATTCCCTTTATCCTTGATTGTGATTGGTGAGTACTTACCTAGTTGTGCTTGCGGGGGTTGAGCTCTGGTTCTTTAATCCCCGCCTCTCAACTGTCAATCAACTGGTGAGACTGGTGAGTGGTAGTGAGATTAGGTCTTAGTTCATCCAATCCTGAGATTACAGGCTTAGAATCCACCGAATTCCTAAAATGTGTCAAGCGATTGGATATTCGCTATAAAAGTACCACCTAAGACTGTGGTTGGGAATATGGTGACCTTCAAACCCCAATCGGCGTATTCAGTGATTGGTAAGGGAATAACACTCAAAAGGGTCAAGTCCCACTCAAACAAATATCGTGAGTGAAGGCACACACTCAAGCGCTCTCTCGTTTCAGACTGGTGTTGGCCAATAAGAAGATACGCTCAAGCGACACCTCTTTGCTGGACCGTGATTGGTACGGTTAGAATTGCCTTGTAGTGCCCTAATTGGCTAGTTGCTGTAACTATCCCCCCTGAGTAGTTAATTAAGACCGAGCGACGCGTCACACCTTGAGCGCTTGTAATGACCAATGAAAATTCATAATAGCCTCGTAGTCTTCCGTTGTAGTTGATATGAAGTTGAAATTGCTGAATCTAGTGAAATAATTGAGGCGAGAACTTTTCTACCAAGATGACAATATCCAAGGGAGAAATAATCTCAAATTCTGCCCATCCTACTTGAAATTCCCACTCCCAAAGTTTCCCTAGAAAACAGTTCAAGCAAAACAGAAAGTTGTCTAAGAGGAACGGCGTGTTTTATCTTGAGAAAACAAACGGTCTTCGCTCCAGCTTTTGATTAAAGACTCAAAAAATGGCGGGAAAAGAGCGGAGGCGGGGCGCGGGCCACAGAAAGTCCTAATGAGATGCGAAAATTTTTACCACTGTCAAAGATTTTTTCCGGTAAAGTGAATCAAACTCTTGAATTTCTATTGCGTTTCGCTGAGTATTTCCACTTGGTAAGAAAGTGTGTGACTTCCAATGTGGAGTTGAAAGTGTTTTACAGGCGACTTCTCTCTTGGCATTCGTTCTCTTGTAAATAATTGAAACCTTTTTTAGAATTATTATTACGTGTGGGAAAAGCAGCTTATGGTGTGTATTATCGAACGATGGTTTATGAAAATGTTCGTTCTGCTCCTTGTGATTTCTGATGCTATGTTTCTATAACAAATTTACAAAATGGATGATCATCTTTTTAGTTTATATATTATCAATGGAAATATTTATATACTTTTAATGGTATTTCTGCATTTTTGCTTCCAAATACACGATTTAAATTATTTAACTATGCAACTACTGAATAAATGCATATATATAGAATATATCACTTAAGTATAGATTTGTGGTTCATCTAAATGCCTTAACAAAAAATTGAACTCAAGATATATCTACGATATAGTCTAACCAATCTAATATATCTGAAGATATATTAGATTGGTTATGACGTGCTATCTTTAAAAGGATAATTATGTTATCTTATTAACTGGTGACAAGAAATTGGATAATTGGCTGGTGACAAGAAATGTAATAAATTTTGAGATGAGCTCCAGTAAGCTGATATAAATGCTTTGCTGAAATAGTTAAATAGCTGAAATAATTCAAAAGGATATGAGGACAAGCTTCTGAGACATAGGTACAAGGGCCTGGGAGAGAATTGAGGAAAGGAATGATGCACAATTACATGGACCATCGGGGATCGAACGCTGGCCTTGCAAGAAGCGAGGCCGCTGGTGCACTGACAACTCAAATTTGATTGAAGAATTATATGAAATCAGACTCGACATTTTAGATTAATTTAGGTTATAAGTCCATAATAATATACATGCAAGTCAATACTCATATATGTATAAATATGCATATTACTGCTTTGACAGCTGTATACCAATCCATATTCAGACAGATATTGATGATAAATTGCTGTTCCCAAAACTTAAATTTAAAAAAAAAATTGGATATTCGGGTAATTTAATAAAACTAAATTTATTTATTTCTCTCCTAGATATGCCTGGAGTTCCAGTTTGGCCTTAGATCATTCATATCATGAAGATCTCCAAGGAAGACTTCGAAGAACTGGAAGACTTCGTGAAGCTTTCCTGGAAGACTTCGAAGAACTGGAAGACTTCGATGAAACTTTCCTGGAAGACTTCGTAGAACTGGAAGACTTCGATGAAGTTTTCCTGGAGACTTCGAAGACGCTTTCCTGGAAGACTTCGTAGAACTGGAAGACTTCGTGAAGCTTTCCTGGAAGACTTCGTAGAACTGGAAGACTTCGAAGAACTGGAAGACTTCGATGAAACTTTCCTGGAAGACTTCGATGAAACTTTCCTGGAAGACTTCGTGAAGCTTTCCTGGAAGACTTCGAAGAAGCTGAAAGACCTCGAGGAACCTGGAATCGAACACCTAAAGAGTACAGAAGCTGGAATCACCACCACTACCACCACACAACCAGACCCCCACCTCACCCCCTTCCTTTCCCCCAATCACACGAGGAGAAAGATGGCGTTGGTGAAGGACTTAATCAAATCTGGAGTGTTTTCCCTCCAGCTAATCAGACACGAAGGCTGGGCGCAAGAATCCTAATGTCATTTCCAGGCGGTTGACGCAAGAAAACCAAGATAAGAGTGTTATACACAAACATGTTTTCAGAACGTGAGTTCAATGATATTTAGAGTTCGTTGAAAGCGCTAGAGGAAAATATATAAAATGATTAGGAATCAAAAATTAATATGCTAAAAAAAGGCGGGGGTGTGGGGGGATTTGCAGGGGAAAAATATGCATGTGTTGAAGAACCAAGGAATTCGACAGGGATTAATGGTCAGGGAAAATTGTCTTGTATTGAAAAACCCTAATATGATGCGCAGGAAAATCCAGGGAATCAACAATAGATTCAGAATAAGGATATTCTTGAGAATAAGAGAATATGAATTAAGAATATGAATATTCCTCGAGAATAAGGAAAACTTACGTATGAAAACCCATGTAATTTGAAGGAGAAACCATGGAATATACAGAAAAAAAACTATTATACGAAAATAGAAAATGAAAAGTGTAAATAAAAAAATGGAATATGGAAGAAAAACCTTTGAATGTGATAAAATAGAAAAGTGAAAGACAAATTCTGAAATATCTGAGGCAATGCAGACGATGAGTCACAATAACGTGGCTGAAATATGTTGACCAAACCACACACTAGAAGGTGAAGGGACGACTGATATATGCTGTCATATATTATATGCTGTGTTATATGCTATAGGACATATGTTATATGCTGTGTTATATGCTATAGGACATATGTTATATGCTGTGTTATATGCTATAGGACATATGTTATATGCTGTTATATGCTATAGGACATATGTTATATGCTGTGTTATATGCTATACGACATATGTTATATGCTGTGTTATATGCTATAGGACATATGTTATATGCTGTGTTATATGCTATAGGACATATGTTATATGCTGTGTTATATGCTATAGGACATATGTTATATGCTGTGTTATATGCTATAGGACATATGTTATATGCTGTGTTATATGCTATAGGACATATGTTATATGCTGTGTTATATGCTATAGGACATATGTTATATGCTGTGTTATATGCTATAGGACATATGTTATATGCTGTGTTATATGCTATAGGACATATGTTATATGCTGTGTTATATGCTATAGGACATATGTTATATGCTGTGTTATATGCTATAGGACATATGTTATATGCTGTATTATATGCTATAGGACATATGTTATATGCTGTGTTATATGCTATAGGACATATGTTATATGCTGTGTTATATGCTATAGGACATATGTTATATGCTGTGTTATATGCTATAGGACATATGTTATATGCTATAGGACATATGTTATATGCTGTGTTATATGCTATAGGACATATGTTATATGCTGTGTTATATGCTATAGGACATATGGTATATGCTGTGTTATATGCTATAGGACATATGTTATATGCTGTGTTATATGCTATAGGACATATGTTATATGCTGTGTTATATGCTATAGGACATATGTTATATGCTGTGTTATTTGCTATAGGACATATGTTATATGCTATACGACGACTGCTGAATGGACGACATTTCTAAGGAAATGTCTACAATAAACAAGCACATTTAAATATAGATATTTGATTGTATGCTTGTGCTAGAATTATCAAATGATTGTAGAGATAATTTACAATGCCAGCAAGCGTTACGTTACTGTGGTTAAAACCCGCTAAAATGTGGCAAACCACAGCAATTAGCGGTGCTGACATCTATCGGAATTACTCTTAATTGTCGAATTATTTCATTGTTTTATTCACTGTCAGAATAACGATCACATGGTAATAACAAAAGTATTAATAAAAAACAGTTCCTTATAGGCAAAAAAAAAAAGAACGCAATAAATCAGTGAAAATTATTGAAAATTTGAGCTATTATTAATAATAGCTCAAATTATTATTAATATTAATAGCTTAAAACAATGTTGCAAGTCCATAAAACTAATGTTGACGTCCGCCAAACAATTTTGCAATTTGCAACACTGAAGAATTATAAGAACACATATCAGTTATATGATGAACATACCTTTACTAGTGGATATACCTCTCTGTATATGTCATATACTCGCCATTGGTTTATAGGTGTGTAATTCACATTTTCCTGTATGTACTTATGGTAAATATATATGAAATACATATTCCGACATATTTGCCGGAAATTTCTTAACACTTCACAAAATCATTTGCTTTAATACAGGTTTTTATTTGCGTCTGTTTGTCCCTTTAATGTGCAAATCCACAAGGGCCGTGATGAGGGTTCGGACTTACGTCCGAGAGGATCCCAGACGCTGACTTCCTCTTGAGATGATTTCGGGGCTTTAGTGTCCCCGCGGCCCGGTCCTCGACCAGGCCTCCAGCCCCGTGACAGGAGCAGCCCGTGACAGCTGACTAACACCCAGGTACCTATTTTAATGCTAGGTAACAGGGGCATAGGGTGAAAGAAACTCTGCCCATTGTTTCTCGCCGGCGCCTGGGATCGAACCCAGGACCACAGGATAACAAGTCCAGCGTGCTGTCCGCTCGGCCGACCGGCTCCCCTTAATCAGTTGTCTGCCCTTGGTTAACGGTATATGCAAAAAAAAAAAAAACTAATAATAATTGTATATAGAGTATATGTATTTATAAATATATCACTAAGAATTATGAGTCCACCAGGATTCGAACTTGCGCTACCAGGTACCCCATTGGCGTACACAGCACTGTGTATGCCAGTGAGGTAACCCCAGGTCGCATAGGTTCGAATCCTAGTCGGGTCATAGAGTTTTTAGTGATCTATTGGCTAATTGGTTAAGTTAATTAATAGGTAGAGCTTAATGTAATAGGTAAATAAATTAACGTTGTTTTAATACGCTATATAAATGGTATTTAGAAAAAAATTATATTAACAAATCTGTTGTAAAAAAATATATGAAAGACATCGTAGGGGCCTCGTAGCCTGGTGGATAGCGCGCAGGACTCGTAATTATGTGGCGCGGGTTAAATAGGTACCTGGGAGTTAGTCAGCTGTCACGGGCAGCTTCCTGGGGTGGAGGCCTGGTCGAGAACCGGACCGCGGGGACACTAAAGCCCCGAAATCATCTCAAGATAACCTCAAGATAACATACATATTGTACAATGTTTGGTTGTTCGATATCTTATTGAGTAGTTAAATCATTTGGAGTTAATTCAAGTGATTAATGTTGGTATTTGGTAACTCGAAATACAGTCATTTATTCAAGTTTAAATAGCATCGTTCTGATATTTATTTTTGTGTTAAAATATGGTGAACAATTGTTTTGAAATGGTAAGATTAAATACGTGTGTGTGTGTGTGTGTGTGTGTGTGTGTGTGTGTGTGTGTGTGTGTGTGTGTGTGTGTGTGTGTGTGTGTGTGTGTGTGTGTGTGTGTGTGTACTCACCTATTTGTGCTTGCGGGGGTTGAGCTGTGGCTCTTTGGTCCCGCCTCTCAACTGTCAATCAACTGGTGTACAGGTTCCGAGCCTTTTGGACTCTATCATATCTACACTTGAAACTGTGTATGGAGTCAGCCTTTACCACATCACACACACACATGTTTGTGTGTGTGTGTGTTTGCCTCAACATAAATTGCGTGCAACAAATAGCAATTCATATAGGTGGAAAAAGGTGAACATTATTCGTAATCCTTCAGTGCTGAGAAATAATTCAACATTACCAGTGGATACCGATTTAAAATAATTCCTTAAAATTATATTACTGACACACTACCATTGTCGGGAATGAGGAAACACAGTTTCAATGACCTAATTTGTTTTCTCAATTACATAATTAAATATTTACGAATTACTCTAGAAAAATATCTTCATGTTATACTTTATAGTGCAAGATAAAAACATTATATATTATATATATATATATATATATATATATATATATATATATATATATATATATATATATATATATATATATATATATATTTATATATATATATATATATATATATATATATATATATATATATATATATATATATATATATATATATATATATATGAGTCTATGAGTCTAGACGGCAAGACGTCTTCAGAATTCCTTGAGCGCTAAGGCGGACACGGAACCATCCTTTCCGCAATTGCCGCAACTAAGCAATTCAACTTCTATACAGAAAGATGACCAAACTATCCATCTGAGTAAGGAATCCCCACCTCCAAACGCATCTTAATTCATCCTTCAATGTCTAGCCTTACCATTGAACATTTTGTCGTTCAGTGTTGTGTTTTCCTTCATATTCGTTATTCATAATTTATATTCATAATTGTATTTTAAGGGATGAGGACTGAAATTTTCATACAATGTAATATGTATACTTTCTAGCTGCTCTATGTATACAGATGATATGTTCTTACTGTAAATGAATTAAAAAATATATTATTTACAAAAAATATATAGATATATATATAGATATATATATATATATATATATATATATATATATATATATATATATATATATATATATATATATATATATATATATATATATATTAGTCACCGTGTCCCATCCGAACAGTCATATTTCCTTACTTGAACCTAGTTACATTTCTCGGGAATTAATAGTAAATATACATTCATTATCACCCACATTATAAGCAAAAACATTGCCGCGTAAAAAGCTAGTAGCACATGTATCCGAGGAAACAAAATACAATCCGCGAATACATTGCGGTCGCGGCCGGCGGCCCCCCGCGATCGGCTGCCTTCCGATCTCGCGGAGCGCTCTGCCATTCCTACATTTTCGATTTTCTTACAATTATTCCGCTTGTCTCACACGCCGTGAATGCACGCAAAAAAAGCAGAAAAACAGGTCGAATACATTGCATGCAACGCGTGTGGTTGCAAGAGACAATGCAGAGTGGAATAGGTAGATGTTTGATAGAGTGCTGGGAGAGGTAAAATGGAAAAAAAAGAGGATATTATCGTACAGAGATGGTTGGCCGGGGTCGTCGAGCGCGCGCAAGGGGCTGCCATTTTGTGGCACCTCTTTTTTCTCCCTGGTTTATCCGCCGTATTTTACCCAGACACGTGTATGCGATTTCTCCACTGTCGAACCTCTTATGAAGAAAGGATGAATGAATGTGGCCTTGATTTGACGTCCTCGCGGTATATATAGAGCCAAATAACGCAGTCAATGATTTAGTTTCTTGTTATGGAGGGTAGTTTGAGCGCCGGCCCCCATAAAATGTCCGGGTTATTTCTGGGTGGAAGGCGCCTGCGTCGGCGCTAGGCTATAGCGCGCCTCCATGTCTTCCCGTTTCCTATGACGAGAGGTAAACAATTGTCTAGCATGAGATAACAGCGCGTTTCTGCTCAGATATCGTGTCACTATTCTCTGCGGATTTCCATATAGGATATTTTGCCTTTTTTCCCTCCACCTCGCGAAGCGACGCTATATATTTCGGTAGAAATAACAAGCCGTTGGTCTGTACCTCTAGCCTTCAGGTGGAGGTTCAGGATGACATTTTTACCGTTCCAGCTGGCGTAGTGGGCAATGAATGGGGCCTGGTAGTGGCTGGCAAGCAGCGTGCAAGCGTGGTGCTGCTTGCTTCTGCTTGGTGATGTAGTGTGGAAGCCTTGTACCCGTTCTTCCTTTCCTTACCACTAATGTTTCCGCATCATTTCCCCTTCACCGATTGTGTGTATATATATATATATATATATATATATATATATATATATATATATATTTATATATATATATATATATATATATATATTTCGTATATATATATATAAACACTCTCAGACCACGAAGGATTAAGTAAGGAATGTCCTTAAGTACTTTCATATTTAATAATACATTTTCAAAAACCATCTTTCTGAAGATGTGTTATTAAATATTATTAAATACGAAAATAATTAATATTAAATAAATTTATTAAATGCGAAAGTACTTAAGGAAATTCCTGTCTTAATCCTTCCTTCGTGGTCTGAGAGTCACACACACACACACACACACACACATATATATATATATATATATATATATATATATATATATATATATATATATATATATATATATATATATATATATATATATATATATATAAACCACACATCATTATAATGCATAACCACAAATTGAAACAAGGCAAGAAACATTTGGGTGTTTTCATGTGAATTAATGAAAACAATTCATGGATAATTATGGGAATGTATTCAGGACTTAAGATGAGGAAAATACAGACTCAAGTCACCAATTTCATAAAAATACTAAATATCTAATTAAAATTTCCTGTTCCAGCGCCTCATAGTTGCGATCCAGAGAGGAAATGCTTTGCTGAATCTTAGGCACTTCTTAAGAGCAGGATGAGGTCTTCAAACAGAGATTATTATGTGTATTTTCTGTAAACTGTAACACAATGTAATTTAAAAATATATATATATTGATATATAAAAGCAAAATTTCTAATGGAACTATATGATGTTAACAT